GAGAAAGGACATCCAGGGGAATAGCTGCCCTTTTGAAGAAAAAAATCAGCACGTCTCCCTGGGGAACCCAGTCTTGCAGCAACATGGGCCACCAACCTCACCTCGGTGACGGGCAGCTGGGTGGCCCTGCTGCTCCCGTGCTTTGCTCAGGCACTTCTGCGTAGTTAAGTGTAGGGGCAGGAGGACATCAGCGGGGGACACAGGCATGGTGCTGACGGGGGGCACCGATCTAGGGGCTGCTATCGCTACTGAAGGGACACCGTCCTCAAGGTCCCATCATCCCAGCGAGTCGCTCCTGCAATGACCACCACAGGGGAGGGTAAGTTCATGGGTATGTAAGTGATTGAGCAGTTGTGTCTTCTAAAGTGCAGTGCAGGTTAAATGATCTTCGCTGTAAACTGTAAGCTCCTCAGGACAGAGTCCTTGCCCTTACTTTTATTTTTGTCTGTAAAGTGACACGCCAACCTATAATACCTTACCCCTAAAGAACAACAACAACAACTACAGAAAAATAGTAAACATGGTGAAAACAACAACATACGATGTCCTTGCCAACATCTAGTGCCAAAGGACATTGACCTCTTCACAGGGACTGGGACTGGGACAGCTTTCCTCAGAAGAGGCCCAGTAATGTGCATGTCTCTCCCTATGGCACGCCGTAACCGGATGGGCTCCCCATGCTCAGCCTTCAGGGACACATCATGGTGAGAGACACAGCTCTGAAAAATACCTGCCAAAATGTTTGTCGCCAAAACTACCAACTGTCTCTGTCCTTACGAAGCTCTAGGGCATGCACTGTTAAAGCTGAACTGTTAATTCAGGCTCTGTGGCCAAGGACTGCTGCGAGGTCCGCAGACCCTGAGCCACCACTACACAGTGCTTGCTCCGCAGTGACCCGAATTGTCACCTGTATTACAGAAATTACTGCATCCAAGTGGGAAAGCGGGACAAGACCTAAAACAGGAGAAGGTGTCTCCTTGCTAAAACACACAGTTTAGACTGTCCAGACTGTTAAAGAAGAGAGAGAGGCAGAAGAGCTGCAGGGAGGAAGCTTGAGGGTGTTTATGCTTGGGAGCCGCCACGCTCAGCATTACATTTATCGGCAGAATGAAACCTTCAGAGGACAAAATAGCTGCAAAAGCAGGAGACATCAAGGGAGGCGATGCTCACTCTTCCCTAGAGATTTACCTTTTCAGGTAAATCAGATACGTGCAAGGGATCTCTGATGGACTTCCCAGACTAGAGGCTTCCCTTACTATCTACAAGCAGAATCAAAACAGCTTATTTATTTTTTTTGCTGACTCCAGCCTAATTCATTTGTATGCACGTAGAACACATTTCCCCCTGTTGGCAATCTTTTATTTATTATTTTTAATCTACGCCCATAAATTGGCAAGTAGTGAAAGGCAGATAAAATGGAAGGGGATTTCTCAAGAGAGAGGTTGGGCTCATTAAACGTTTGGCACTCTGATTATCTGTTGGCAATAAGAGGCTGTTGCTATATTTTAACGTTGATCATGATACTTTAATGTACAGGAGAATCTCCTCAGCCTACTTTTGGTACACTTGAGAGAGAGGAGCAATTCAATCATCTGTGACCTGAATTGTATTTTTAATGGCTGCCAGGCTAGATAAAATATTTAAATATTCACTTTTATATCAGTGCACATGGGGATTTGAGCGTTTCAGGTTGTATAACAGAGCATGGCCTACTTTTAGAAGAGTATACGGAAATAGGCACATATGCACGAAATACTGAGCATGCAGCATATGGGTCAAATACTCAGCCAGTGTTAATTAGGATAACACAACTGACTGCATCAGAGCTAGCCCGATCCAGATGACCCAAGGAGCTGGTGTTACTCACGTTTGATTTCATAAGTGACTCAGGCAAGAACGGAGGAACTCTCCTAAATTAAAGACGGTTAGTCTCAAAGGTGACCAAGTCCCTCAACCAAAGGGAAATGGGGGTGTTCAAGCCTGTTAGCAGAGCTGGCCTTACAGGAATGGGGTCATCACATCAGGTGTCTATGTCTGATGAAGTCAAAGGACCAAAGGCAGATCATGTCACTGGAAGAACTGGATCATCGTATGCAATGTGCAACACGGGGAGGTGATGATCCTGCTGACTTATTTTGGAGTTTGGCATATGAAACGGGTTCCATATTAGGTGGTGGGAATTCCCTTAAGCCCAGTGCAAATAGCATTGATGTGCTGGGAGGCCAGAGGCAGGAGAAAATGGTGTGAGAGCATAAATGAGCAAGGGAACGACAGTGCACTCTGCTCTATACGGTTCCTGGCTTCACATCTGCTCTGCAGATGTGGCCTAGGTAGACAAGGTTGGATTTATGTGATTGTCGAGCACTTTGCCATGTAATTGGCACCAACCCTGACAACAACAGGGTTATACGACCTGACTGACTGCTGTCAATCCCAAATAGAGCCAAATCACTATGGGGAAGTGGAAGGCTACATGGTCAATCATGACTCACCATGTGCCAAGGTAGGAAGTCCTACTAGAGCCATAGCTCATGCTATGCTCTTCACTAGTCTTCTCTCTTTCACAAGCGCACAAAGTGTTACTACTTTTCCCAAATTCTCCAAACAAAACCACTTTTCTTTACCATACACACACCACATTGCAGTCACATATTAACAATATTTCACAATACATACGAACAGGTGACCGGTTGCATATTATTCTGAACTTTTACAAGATTCTCTTTTGAACTTGCACCAGGTCAAATCCCATCTGCCTTGATGGGATTGACCTGCTATGGCCAATCTCATATTCTCAGGTCTTTCTCTGAAGTTCAGAGTGTCCTTCCCTATACAAGCTGAGTCAATGAGCATTCAAGGAGTTTGAATGGCAGCAGAGCTGCCACAATAATAAATTCTGAGGTTAAATAAAGGATCTTCTGTACAGTTACTACTCTGGTTATTAGCCACATTGAAATCAATGTGAGTTTTACCTAAGTAAAGGGAAAATCAGACCTAATAATGCCATAGGGAGGAGGCCAAAGACAGTGCAGAGAACTGAAGATTCATCGGCAGCATAGCATGCTTTGCTTCCCACTCTAAATCCTTTTCACACACACCTTTACTCTCTCCCATATTCAGTGCTACTTCCTGGTTCAAGCTCCCAAACTCAGCCCTGCAACTCAGATAAAACCCTGTGCCCCACTTGCAGGAGAGCATCCTTCTCCCCTAGACCCTCCTGAGATGTCTTTATCCCTCACCCCCACTTCTACACACACTCACATGGCAGCATCCACTCAAACTGCCCACCACTGCCAAATATATCGCTCCTGAGACTGACTCAGAGGCTTGCTGTGGGTGGGGAGAAACGTCGTGTGCTTCTAAGAACTGCCCGTATCTCACCTGAAGGAGTCAGTGGGATGCGGAGATATGGGAAGTGTCAAATCTAAAGGATGGAGAATATTTTGCATTAGTCAGGGTAAGTGATGGGTTATGGTGATATTTCTTAGCTTTCAGCACAACGAGGTGAAGGAAGATGGGGGTTGTGTTCAGTTCACCTCACCAAGAAAGGTTTCTTTCCAATGGGAAAACAAATGGATACTCGAGGGCATCATTCAATACTAACATTTCTCAGGGTGAACAGAAGCATCAGCCAAATGAAGTCTTTATGAGCTTTTTGAGTCCCAGACAATTTCTTCCATCTCTTTTCTAGGTCTATTCACCTCTAGGTATTCAAAACACGTTTTTGCATCCCTTGGCTCTTTGATGCTCGCCTACCTGGCCCTTGGGAAAGCCAGATGGGTCAAAGTCGAAGTCCTCACCAGAAGAGATGGGATGTTGAGATGCAGTTTCCTCCCATGAGGGGGCTCACAGTATACAGAAACACTTTAGCTGGTGAGCTGCATAGGTTTCCTGCAATGGAGGGCCCCTGCATGGCCGGATGTGTCAACCGGACAGGTTCACAAATGACACTGACCCATTTTCGGCTGTTCAGAAAACGCTTCCAGTTCTCTGCAAATTCTTACTCCCAA